GACCTGTCTGCTGCCCCAGAACGCCTCGTTGGACATTTATCTTTTTCCATTTGTTTCTTCCGGGAACCAAAATGGACCAATCCGCGGAGCTCCTCACACACCAGGACCTTTAGCGTAAATATTCAACTTGCATAGAGCTCCCTGGTTGGTAATAGACGAGTTGGGATCGCGGAGAAATGCTCTCCGCAGACTAGGGCTGCACGATTTTGGGAAAAAATCTTATTGCGATTTTTCTGACAAATATTGCGATTTACGATATTTGTTTTTTAGCGACCCAACAGAAGTTTATTGTAAAATGCGGCCATATCTCCGACTAGGAAGGTCACATCAACGTGCTCCCGTCTCTAGCACCCCGCAGCCCGAGCTACGAGTGAAAGAACTAAACTTACATGAAACTTCCGTTGGGTTGCTTTAAAGTCAAGCTTCAGTTTAAGATGCAGCCTGTAATAGAAACATGTGATGGAGCATCACTAACCTGACTCTGATGGTTCACCAAACCATCTAAAGCTCCATTGGAAGCCATTTGGAAAGGGCAGGTGATTGGATCAATCTGTCTATCACCTTCTATCATGGGCAACTTCTGATTGGTTAACAATGGCTGGTATGGGATCAGTATGCTGATGGGTCTGACTCTTCCAGCCGCTGCCTTCGCCCTCATGCCCGGCCCCCTGAGTTCGCCCGATGTGGCCTTCGCCCCTTTTTGAACTCTGCCTTGCCCCCGGGCCGTCTGCCCGAGACCCCCACCATGAACTCTGCCTTGCCCCCGGGCCGTCCGCCCGAGACCCCCACCATGAACTCTGCCTTGCCCCCGGGCCGTCCGCCCGAGACCCCCACCATGAACTCTGCCTTGCCCCCGGGCCGTCCGCCCGAGAACCCCACCATGAACTCTGCCTTGCCCCCGGGCCGTCCGCCCGAGAACCCCACCATGAACTCTGCCTTGCCCCCGGGCCGTCCGCCTGAGATCCCCACTATGAACTCTGCCTTGCCCCCGGGCCGCCCGCCCGAGATCCCCACTATGAACTCTGCCTTGCCCCCGGGCCGTCCGCCCGAGACCCCCATCATGAACTCTGCCTTGCCCCCGGGCCGTCCGCCCGAGAACCCCACCATGAACTCTGCCTTGCCCCCGGGCTGTCCGCCCGAGACCCCCACCATGAACTCTGCCTTGCCCCCGGGCCGTCCGCCTGAGAACCCCTCCATGAATTATGCCTTTCTTGGGCTGTCGATCCAGACCCGTCCTCCGGACCCCCTCCACCCACCCATTTGGACATTTTGGACTTTGTGTAGGGACGTCTGGAATCCGTCCCTTGGGGGGGGGGTTATGTCAGGATTTGAGTTTTGTGTGTCTAGTTTTGGGTTTATTTTGCTGTTCTGTTCTCCCTGTCTCGTGTTTTCCTCCTTGTGTCTTGTCTGGTCCTTCTCCCTGTGTTTTCCTTCCTGTCTTTCCCTGGTGTGTCTCATTGTCTGATTGTGTTCACCTGTTGCCCTTGTGTTTCTACCTCCCCTGCCCAGCTGTTTCTTGTCCAGTGATTACCCCTCTCTGTATCTAGTCTTGTCTCTTCCTGTGTTCCCCTGTCGGTTCATTATTTGTCTTCCCTTCACGTCACGCTTCATGTTTGTCTCTCCGGTCTTCCTCCATGTTTCTCACGGTCAGTTTTTGTGTTGTTGTTTTCTGTGCTACCGTTTCGAGTTCTGCCATGTATTGTTCATCAGCTTTTAAATAAAGCTCGCCTTTTGTTTCAAGACCTTTTTCCGTTTTTGTAGTCTGCATTTGGGTCCTACTTTTTCCACAAATCGTAACAGTCCCACTGTATCGCCGACCCGGAAACCACACCAGTCAGCCAGCTCACTGAGCAGAGAGCTTCGCAACGTCCCGACCAATCAGAGCACACTGGGCTCACAGGGAGGGGGGGGGCAGGAGCTCCAACAGAGAGTGAATACCCGGTGAATACACATACTATACAGAGATGCTGTGAGAAACCAATGTGAGTTTGGAAAATTGCACAGTATAAATCTATTCTAGTCGACCTCAACAATGGAATTATGTTCAGTAGCAATGGCCATGACATGGGACCTTTAAAAAATCAGGTCCAGATTTATGATTCAGGTGTTTTCTTTAGCATGGTTTGTTTATTGGCTGGGGGCTCTGTGTGTGAGGATCATGTTCTGGGAATTCTCCAGTGCCTTCAACACCATCCAGTCGCCCAGCTGCAGCACTCTGGGGGGGGATCACCACCTCACCTCCTGGATCCTGGACTACCTCACCAACCATCCACAGTACGAGAGGACCAGGGACTGCCATTCAGACACCATCATCTGCAGTACTGGGACCCCCCAGGGGACGACAGGGAGTACAGGGAACTGACGCAGGACTTCACCCTCTGGTGCCAGAGGAACGGGAAGACCAAGGAGCTGGTGGTGGACTTCAGACAGCTCCAACACACACCCCCCCACACCAGTGAACATCCAGGGAGACATTGAGATTGTGGAATCGTACAGATACCTGGGTGTTCAACTGAACAATAAACTGGACTGGACTGATAATTCTGCTGCTCTGTACAAGAAGGGACTGAGCAGACTCTGCTGATGAGAATGAGGTCTTTCGCGGTGCAGGGGGCACTCCTTCAGACATTTTATGACTATGGAGACAACAGCCATCTTTTATGGCCTGGTCTGCTGGGGCAGGAAGCGCCTGAACAGACTGGTGAAGAAGGCCAGCTCTGTCCTGGGGAGTCCTCTGGACACTGTGGAGGTGGTGGGAGAAATTAATCCAAGCCCTGGAGGAGCTGGAGCACCATAGGGAATTGTAACCTCCATATCAACCAGTGCCTCCGTGATACTGCATCTATTGTATCTGAGAGGTTTCTATTTCTGACTGAGCTGCTCCATCTTTAAATTACAATACACTGGCTTAAATCATGAATTTCTGTAATTGAAAATAGGTTATCGATAATAGGTGTGTTGACCTGCACTGTAAATGAATAAAATCTACTATATTCAAACTTGTCTTTGTACAGTGTTTCTTTCCTGACTATGAGTTGTTTCTTGTATTTTCCAGTGAAGTCAAAATGTGTGCTGTGAGAGGTCACCGGTCACCGCCAACAGGTTTAACACTTATTTGATCAAATACTGCCCCCTGGTGGTCACAGTAGTATGCAAACCTAAAAAGGGAATGTCCTGCATTAAATATCAGGTCCAGCTTTATGATACAGATGTTTTCTGTAGCAGTGTTTAAATGTATAGGTTTGAACCTTAACTAATGTTTGATTGACCTGTTTCATGCCTCTCTAAAATAGATTTAGAGAAAATACTGGAACACCTCTAAAAACACTAAAGGATAGAACTACTGACAAAGGGAACATTAAGTGAAAGGAAAAGGCAAAGATGTTAAGTATCTTAGCAAGATCATTGCACATCCAGTCTGTTTCATACGACACTATCCGATTATAAAACCTCTCCTGTGTTCCTTCTGTTTGCTTTTGAATTTTGGTCAAGTTCTTATTGTAAGTGCACTTTTGTATACACTTTTTAAACTTTTCGAGGTGAGTGATGTTTAAATGGATTGTAGTAGCATCAAAACAATTTGAGTTGTTTCATTATAACCACATCCCTATCAGTTAAACTGATCAGAGTCTGAGTCTTGTGAAAGGAGATGTCATTTGTTGTGTTTCATTTATTTACTAAAGTGTGTTTGTTCCTGAGGTGACGCCTTTCTGTAGCTCTTTCCGTGTTAACGGCTGCTTTTTGCAAATATGTTGTAATTGTATGTGTGTTTCTTCGGTCCTCCCGTAGGACACAATAACATATTAGATTTATAACCAAATGTTATGAATGTCGAGCCCAGTGCACTTCAAATTTAAATATTTGACACCTTCCTTTATGTCTTGCAGCACTCTGCTGGTATTTACACACTATTACATTTATACAGTATTCCATCAGGAAGAAATGTAGGGATAATGGCTATTACCATCATTCATAATATTTAGTGTTTTTAAATGCCAATCTTTATGTTTCAGATTCATTGACAGCTCCTGTTGCCATGGCACAATGCAGAGGATTCAAGCAGTTCCTCGGATTTGTGGCATCCATGTTTCTCTTTGCGTTGTCCTTTTCCCAATGGGACAAAAAAAAACAGTGTAGAGGTCTCTCAATACTCTAATTTCCCGAGGAGAGAGGAGGGGAGCCGAGGAGAGAGGAGGGGAAGCAGCAGGCGGTTAGAGAAATGAGAACTCCTCTCCTCTGAGCGGTCATTTTAAAGAGACGTCCATTAATGATGACAGGAGGCTCAGCAGCCTGATGGACAGATGTGTTCATGACCACTTATATATTTACTTTGATTCATTCACAGTGCGGTATAATGAGACAATAACAGGCTACAGATGCGGGGACACACACACACACACACACACACACACACATATATTTATGTAAATATATACAATTTCAGAATTAAACAAGTATGAGAGCACTCTCATAATAACGTAACACAATCAGAGACTGGATATATCCCCCCCCCCTCTCTGGTCGCTGAAATGGGGAATTGAAATTATTATTAGGTTTTTAGGTTGTGATGCTTCTGAATAATACATGAACTCTCAATTATATATGTATTATATATAATAGAAATGCTTTAAGTTTATAGTCTGTCCTCAAGCTTCTTAAAGCTTTTTGGGATGTCCCATTTTACTCGTCTCCTTTATGTCTAATTACTGTACTAGTATTTTTATTTATTTGAAAAGTTCTTATTTGTATTTTTCCTATCATGAACCACACATCCAGTCGTTCCCACTGCAAATGAACGCAGCATTAACACACACCCGTATATGATTGGAGGAGAAGGGAGAGAGGGGCGTGGTTAAAGCTAATGGTTTCGCATCATCAGCGCACCCTTATCTGATTGGAGGAAAAGGGAGAAAGGGGCGCGGTCTGAAGCCAACGTTAACCCGACACCCGCCCCTCGCGCGTGTGTTTTGCTTTGACTGTAAACTTTCTCCTCGAGCTCCGTCAGTTGGTCGCTGACCGTGGGACCGTTTGTATCGTGTTGTGTCTGCGTTTTAACGGAAACTCCTCCGGTAATCATGTCCAATTAAACGGGTTAATTCGGTATTTTGGAGTTGGGGGAGATTGAAATACATCCCGTCGTGAGACATGGAGGCTGTGAGTAAGTGGACCCCGCAACAAGTGGTGGACTGGATGAGAGGTGAGCGATAACCGGACCCAACGAAGCTAACGGTCACTCTGTTAGCAAACAGTCTATGGTTAGCAGTTATTGAAGTGAACAATTGAGATGTTAGTTTGCATTGTGTGCTTAGGAATACATACCGGCTAGTTCACTGCTGTTTAATTTAACAGCAGCTGCATCTTTACCTTTCCTGACCTTTTATTGAATACATTTGTATTGTCTTTTTCAGTACTTTGTTGTTATCTTACATTAAAGCACATAACAGTCATCTGAAGTATAGTCGTGTAACAGTGGTGGGAGAAGTACCTTCATTCTGTACTTTAAATATAAATTCAAATTAAAAGTTCTGCATTAAATATTTAACGGAAATATAAGTACATAAATGTATTAGCAAAATAATACAGTTAAAGTACCAACATTGGAGGTACTCGATATTGTCTTTGGTATATATATATATATTTAAATCTACTCAATGTTACTTTCCACAATGAGTTTATATGCAATAGTTGATGTGGTGTTTTCTGTGTCATTATGCTATAGAGTGAGAAGTTTATGAAAGCTGTAACTTGCTTTGGTTACCTGGGCTTGTTTTTCAGAGGTGTACATTAAAGCAGCATTGAAACAGTTAAAAAGGTTTACTTAAATTGCCAAATAAGACTTTTGTGTCCATGCTTTTTGTCCACACAGTTGGTTGTTCGGCTCTGTTGACTCAGCACCAGGCTGCCTTGTTTACCCTTTTTTTAACCCATTTTCCTGCTTGGTTGTTAAACTTGGCCGTTGAGAGGCAGATCGATCTGCACACGGCACTGAGCCGTGTATTTGTTTTCATCATAGAGTCATTAAGCCATAAACAGGCCCTACCAGGAATCACATCATCCATGAAAAGAGGCTCATGATTGTGCTTTGATAAAGACCTGTTTTTAATTCGGTGATGTTTGAACAAGCAGCAGGGAAACTGTTTCTGTGGCAGCTTTCAAGACACCATTTGTGTCTTCTTGAGACAATTGTTGTTTTTAGATTTGAGATTTTTGCATTCTTGAAAGTAACACATTAAAAAGAACAGCTTGTTATCAGTGCATATTTTAAAGATTTCAATTCTGGGCTAGAACAACCTGGAAAACTAAATATGGCCTTAAACTGTTTTGAAAACCGGTGACCTAGAAACTTCCGATGTGCATCGACACAACATATACTGGTTCTGAGGAGGATGCTGGATGTGCATTAGAAGATTTAGTTTGTGTTGAGGAAGAAATTGAAAATAATGAATACTTTCTGGGCATGTTTGAAGCATGTTGAAATGAAATGGTGCATTCGTTTATTTCATTCCACTGACGTTGGGTCAGTCTTTGCAAGTGTCCTGTAAGTGGCCCTCAGAGTTTAGGAATATTTAGCGGGATGTGCTGCCATTTGTTAATGATGACAAAGATGGCCACCATAAACAATGACTGCTTTATTGTCTGTGACTTCTTCGAGTTTGGCTTTTGAACTGAGGAAAACATGTAATTAACTCAAAAAAAGGCCAAGACTTCGTAATGTGTCCGAGTGCATCCCATCTGTGTACCAGATCAAGGTGAAAGTGAGCGTCCTTTGAGCCCAGCTTGTCCCCCGACAGCACAAACACACAAACACACACATACCAACACACACGTCATTATCACCACAGACAAAGCAGAGCGGGGTCCATAAAGACTCGGACAAAAGCCGCTCTTCACAAAGGTCGGCCTCCTGTCGTGTTCGGGGTCAGGAGGTCGCTCGGACACTTTTACCACATCTCACCATCACACTTTTGTTCTGCATGAAAAGAGTGACACACACACACACACACACACTGCGGTCAGTCACATGACCTGAGGGCTCAATTAGGCTCGTTCTCTCTCTATTACTTCGTGCAAATCCACTCTGGGGTCAGATTAAGACGCAATGCTCCTAAATAACCCGATCCAGGAAATCTGAATCAAGAATGTGCTGTTCATTTCTAAAACAGCTGTTTCCTGTAGTTTATATCCAACGAACAGGAGGAGGACGTGCATTGGTTGCGACTATTTTCAGCGGCTTATCAATCCACTTTTGGGGTTCTAGTGTTTTCAGTGAAACAGCAGAGCAGATTGCTGCCTCTGGTTGCAGGCAGTGAGGGTGTGTGTGGTGTGTTTGTGTGTGTGGTGTGTTTGTGTGTGTGGTGTGTTTCTGTGTGTGGTGTGTGTGTCTGTGTGTGGTGTGTTTCTGTGTGTGTGTGTTTCTGTGTGTGGTGTGTTTGTGTGTGGTGTGTTTCTGTGTGAGTGTGTTTGTGTGTGTGGTGTGTTTCTGTGTGTGGTGTGTGTGTCTGTGTGTGGTGTGTTTCTGTGTGTGGTGTGTTTGTGTGTGTGGTGTGTTTCTGTGTGTGGTGTGTGTGTCTGTGTGTGGTGTGTTTCTGTGTGTGTTTCTGTGTGTGGTGTGTTTCTGTGTGAGTGTGTTTCTGTGTGTGTTTCTGTGTGTGGTGTGTTTGTGTGTGTGTGTGTTTGTGTGTGTGTTCTTTACAGTGTACTACTCAAGCAACAGGTTCTTTTAATGGAAGGTGTTGTCAGTCTAGTTGAGTCTCTCGCAGGCTGTCACCGAGCTCCTTCAGCTGACCACAAACATCTGACACAAATGCCTTGAATAACCCTGGAATATCACAGGCATGATGCAGGTGCTTTCTAACGGAGGGAAAAGTCACACAATGGGTTTCTTGAATCTTTTTTTTTTTTTTTTATATTTTTATTCACATGTAAAAAAAGAAAAGAAAGTGTAACAGTGCATTACAGCAATTAAGGCATTTTCATTTTTTCCCTCCCAAAAGAACCCTTACTCACTTTCCCTTAACCCCGCCCCATCCCAACCACCCCTCTCCCGGAGCACTGAGGCAACAGTACATCAATACAATACAAAATGATAGATACAATAATATACATATACATACATACTAACACATATCCAGGGATGCCACATGGGCTGCCTATGTGGTGGACAGGGGAGTAATCATATCAGAATTATAGACGGATAAATAAAGGGAGAATCCCTACAGCGACACCATATCAGGGGGAAGACGGTCTACATAGCTGATCAGTGGCCTCCAATGAGCGTAAAACTTATCTGAGGAACCCCGGAGAGTAAACTTAATTTTTTCCAACTTTATAAGAGACATAGTATCACTCAGCCACATTTGAAAAGAGGGAGGTAAAGGAGATTTCCACAAAAGAAGGATTTTCCTACGAGCAATCAAGGAGGTAAAGGCCATGACATTGGTTTGAGTGTTTGTAATGTTGATTCCATCTGGGGGCCTACCGAAAATAGCTACATGAGGGGATGGAGAGATTTTTAGACCTACAATTTCAGAAATACATTCGAAGAAAGATTGCCAGAAGCTAGATAATTTAGGGCACGACCAGAACATGTGAGTCAGGTCGCAGGGGGCCTGGGAGCATCTATCACACCGGTCATCCAATCTATCTGGATAAATCCTGGAGAGCTTAGCCTTGCTATAATGTAGTCTATGGAGAACTTTAAACTGTATTAGGCTGAGTCTAGCGCAACTGGAGGATGAGTTAACGGCTCTCAGGGCCTTCTTCCAAAAGTCATCAGAGAAGGTGAACTGTAGTTCCTTTTCCCAATTAGTTCTAATCTTGTTAATGGCAGATTCATCAACCGGAGAAAAAAGATCATAAAAGTAAGAGACATGGCGCCTAGACAAAGTTCTTGCTCTAAGTACAAGATCCACTCCACTGGGAGGCAGGGATTGAGGGAATTGTGGAGAGTGGGTCTTAGCAAAATCCCTTAGTTGAAAGTATCTAAAGAAATCAGATCCTCTTAGATTAAAGGCAACCCGTAGTTGGTCAAAACTGGCAAACAGGCTATCAATGTATAACTCCCCTATGCAGCGGAGGCCTTCCCTCTTCAAGTGAGAAAATCGGGGGTCAATTGTGGCTGGTAAAAATAGATGGTTGTTACAGACAGGAGTTGCTTGAGGAAGAGTAAGCCAACCAAAGTGACGTCTAACTTGTGCCCAGATCTTTAAAGTGCCAATTACAACGGGGTTAGATGTGAATTGTGAGGGGGAAAGGGGCAGAGTGCTACACGCGAGGGCTTGAAGTGACGTGGATCAACATGAGTTGGCCTCCACAAGACACCAGTCACTCTGGGGTGAAGTGAACCAGAGCATGATCTTGTGTGTGTTTGTGGCCCAGTAGTAACCAATAAGGTTAGGTAAACCAAGCCCACCCAGGAACCTGTCCCTCTGCAGTAATGGTCTACTAGCTCTTACATGTTTACCAGCCCAAATAAATGAGGAAATAATATTATCAATAGCAGTGAAAAAAGATTTAGGCAAAAAAATAGGTAGGCATTGGAACATTTATAGATATCTGGGCAGTACATTCATTTTTATTGTCTGAACTCTTCCTGCTAAAGAGAGTGCCAGATGGCCCCACCTCTGCAGGTCAGATTTGACTGTTGCCGTCAGGACAACAGATAAAGGACAGTAAGATTTTGTTCCCGTAGCGCACTAAAAGACTGCGTGATTGCAATGCCCAGATATTTAAACCCTGAGTTGGATATTCTAAAAGGCAACGACAACGGAGGTAATTCTGTAGCCAATTGGTTGATAGGGAAACATTCACTCTTTTGGATGTTTAATTTGTATCCTGAAAATGAACCAAAAGTGAGAGAATGTGTGGAGTACTTTAGTTGGTGGGCCAGGAGACGGCCAGCTTTATCGCCATGTTCATATATAGACCCTCGTGAGTGTAGAAGGAGTAGTTCAGCCTCTCTTGTTAGGAGAAGGTCAAGTTCTGTTTGGAGCCCCATCCGTTCTTTAGATAGATCAGGTGATTGAGTGGAAAATAGTTGGTTGTCTAGATTAATGATAGATTCTTCCAGTTCTCTTTGGCGTGCTCTACGAAGTTTATTAACATGAGACGTATGCGAGATGATCTTACCCCTAAGAAAAGCTTTAAGGGTTTCCCAGAGTAGGGACGCAGAGGTCTCTTCATTTTGGTTGGTCTCAC